AGTGTGTTTCTTGTAAATGGGTCTTGTTTGTTGTATCCAGTCAGCCACCCTGTGCCTTTTGATTGTAGCATTTAGTCTGTTGACATTTAAAGTAGCTATTGATAAGTATGTGTGTATTGCCATTTTGTTACTTTTTTTTCTGGGTGTTTTAGTAGTTCTTCTCTGTTCCTGTCTTCTTCTCTTGCTCTCTTCCCTTGTGTTTTGAAGGTTTTCTTTGGTATTATGTTTAGGTTCCTTTCTCTTAATTTTTTGTGTATTTAATATAAGTTTCTGGTTTTTATTACCAGGAGGTTCATATATAATAACCTACGTATATAGCAAGCTATGTTACATTGATAGTCTGTTCAGTTTGACCTCTTTTTAAAAGCTGTACTCTTTTTTCTTCCCTCCTCCCACATTTTATGTTTTTGATATCATATCTAATCACTTTTTTTGTTTGTTGTATCTATTACCCTCTTATAGAAATAGGTAATTTTAGTACTTTTGTCTTTTGACCTTCATATTATCTTCATAGGTGGTTGATCTGCTACCTTTACTGTATATTTGCCTTTACCAGTGATTTTATTGCTTTTTTGTTATGTGGATAATTTTCTTATTCCTATTTGTGGTCTTCTCTTTTCCACCTAAATAAATCCCTCTTGTATTTCTAGTAAGACTAGTTTCTTGGTGATAAACTCCTTTATTTTTTGCTTGTCTGGGAAACTCTTTATCTCTTCTTCTATTCTGAATGATAAACTTGCGGGTAGAGTATTCTTGGCTGTAGGTTTTTTCCTTTCAGCTCTTTAAGTGTATTGTGCCACTCCCTTCTAGCCCATAAGATTTCTGCTGGGAAGTCAGCTGATAGCCTTCTGGGGTTTCCTTTGTATGTGACTTGTTGTATTTCTCTTGTAGCTTTTAGGATTCTCTCTTTATCTTTAATTCTTGACATTTTAATTATAATATGTCTTGGTGTGGGCCTCTTTGTGTTTATCTTGTTTGGTGCTCTCTGTACTTCCTATACCGGAATGTCTGTTTCCTTCCTTAGGTTAGGAAAGTTTTCAGCTATTATTTCTTCAAATAGATTCTCTGCCCTTTTGTCTCTCTCTTCTTCTGGGACACCTATAATATGAATGTTAGTGTGCTTGATGTTGTCCCGGATGTCCCTTAGACTATGCTCATTCTTTTTAGTTCTTTTTTCTTTTATCTGTTCAGCTTCAGTGATTTCCTCTAGTCTTTTGTCCAGCTTGCTGATCCATTCATCTGTATTATCTACTTGCTATTGAGTCCGTTTAGTGAATTTTTCATTTCCAGTATTATATTCTTCATTTCTGATTGGTTCTTTTTTATATTTTCCAGTTCTTTGTTGATGTTTTCACCGTGTTCATTCATTCTTCTCCCAAGATCAGTGAGCATCCTTATGACTTTTTGTTTGAACTCTTAGTCATGTAGATTGTTTATTTCTATATCATTTAGGTTTTTTGGGGGTTTTGTCCTGTTCCCTTACTTGGAACATATTCATTTGCCTCATTGTTTTGCTTCTTTCTCTGTCCTTATATCTGTGTATTAGGTGGGTCGGCTACATCTTCTGATCTTGGAGAGGTGGGCTTATGTAAGAGATGCCTTATGAGGTCCAGCTGTGTGCTTCCCTCTAGTCGCTAGTTCCAAATGTTCCGGGAGTGCCTCCTGTGTAGGTTTTGTGTGTCCTTCTGTTGTGGCAGTGTTGCTGTTGTTGCAGGTGCCCAGCGCAGCTAGGCTGTCCCCTTGCCCGGCTGGTTGTAACTCTCTGCTGCATGTGGCTGCTATGAACCCTTTAGTCACTTAATTTGGCTTGGGGACATTAATAGCACATTCCTCTTGCAGTTTTTCTGTTAAGTGAATAGGCCCCCTACGTCTCTGGTTGCTAGACTCCAGGGCTTAACAAATGTTGTAGGCCTCTGGCCCCAAGGCTGTTGTCAGCTCTCTCAGGATTTCACCTGAGTGGGGCTGGCCCCAGGCATGGGAGCACTCAATTGTTTAGGCTTTGGAAGGTGGGATGATCTCCTATGTGGCTGTTTGAGAACCACCAGTCTTCTGCAGCTGACAAGTTCCATTGCCCACAGGGCCATACACACCATCAACACAGTCCTGCCCTGTGTGCGCATTCTGACCCCATGAAGTGGACCCATTTGCCCCACCGCAGAGGACCCACACACTCCACCAACACCCCACACACTCTACCTGCTCTTCATGGATGCCCTGCCCTGCAGAAGTGGTCCCACTCACCTGGCTGCTGAGGATCCAGACACCCAGCCTATGCAGCCCACATGTTGCCCGAGGGCTTACTGTTGGGTGGGACCAGTCCCTAGGGCAGGCTGCCTGCCCTGGCTGAGCTGGATTAAATCAGTGCTCTAGTGGATGGGGCAGATCCTGGGCTAACAGGCCAGGGGAAGACCTCCAATGGCATCTGCCAGCCTCTGTGTCAACATGCCTTTACTATTGTGACTATAGGTCACAATAATGGCTGCTGCCAATGTCTCAGTCCCTGGAGAGGTCTCACCTCTTACTGAGATGCACCCAGAGCCTATCAGGTGAGTTTCTTTTCACCAAAGAACAGTGCACCTTTCTTTCTGGTGATTTTTGGTTGCTTTCCAAAATGGGTGAATTTCTGTGTTGGCCCTTTAAGAGCTGGCTTTTTTTGTCCCCTTAAGTCTGATAGCTTTTCTGGGGGTGCTCCCCGTGGTTGTTAATAGCCAGCTAAGACAGATATGATGACACTTGTGTCAGTTGTAGTGAGTACAAAGGATGCTTACAGCGGTAACACTCCCCTCTCAGGTTCCCACTTTTTCAGGGAAGGCTGCATACCTTAGGATTACTCCCAGCCAGCCATGAAGCACCGTGGCTTGTGAAGGTGGCTTTTTTCTCTCCAGAAAGGAATTTCTGCCTCTTCCACCTCACTCAGGACTGTCCCTTGTTGTGGGGGCTCTTTTTATCCAGTTTTCCTTTCTCTCTCGGGTAATTGTTCCATAAGTGGTTGTAAATTGGTTGTGTCCGTGGGAGAAGGTGACTTCAGAGTCTGCCTATGCTGCCGTCTTCCCAATCCTTCACTGCTGTATATTAAATCATAGGATATTTGACTTCCAGGAGTTCATATTGTAGTTGAAAAGGAGAAATTGAGAAGTCTTTTCACAGACTTGAACTGAAGAATATCAGGTTAAAAGATAGATATTCTACCTACTGAACTATCTGAATCACTGTAATGCTTGTATAGACTTGCCACCTGTTGAGCACACTGTTTCATTTCTTGATTTCTATAGCAAATGGCAGGTTTGGGTATGCTCCTCACTTCCTTTGTTTCTGCAGAAACCAAATTCTCAAAAGTAAAAAAATTGTGCCTATAATGTGCCTCCAATGAAACTCCCCAACCAGGACTTGATTTGAGTAATTCTCTAAAAATTTGTTTAAATTGATATACCAAAAACCTGGTAGTTCAAGGACTTAAACTGAATCGTTCTTGTTTCCTCTCCTCTTTCAACCCAGATTCAATCCATCCATAAATCCTGTTGACATACTAATTCTGGATCATGTCTTACCATTTCCAAGGCTACAACCCTAACCTATGTCTTCATCATTTAGCCTTGATTACTAAAATAGTCCCTAACTTGTCTCTTTGCTTTCTTCTTACCCTCTTACAGTTAGTCTGTTCTCGACCTAGTGGCCAAAGTGTGATCCTTTTAAACCAGAAATCAGATTTTGGAACTCTCCCTCCTTAAAGTCTTCCAGTGGCTCCCTTTCGTTTAGAAATAGAATCCAGACTCTTTACCGTGGCCTGAAAGGACTTCTCTTTGCTGTCCTCTATCAACTTCTTTATTCATTTCCCTCCATTTTTTTTTTAAAGACTTTATTTTTCCTTTTGCTCCCCAACACCTCCCAGTACATAGTTGTATATTTTTAGTTGTGGGTACTTCTAGTTCTGGCATGTGGGATGCTGTCTCAGCACGGCTTGATGAGCGGTGCCGTGTCCGTGCCCAGGATCTGAACCGGCAAAACCCTGGGCCGCCGAAGCGGAACGTGCACACTTAACCACTCAACAACAGGGCCGGTCCCCCATCTCCCTGCATTCTTACCCTTACTTGCAAAACACCACCAACCTTGATCTTCTTTCTAGTTCTGGACCCAGATCGACTTCCTGGGCTTAAATTACTGTTCTGCTCAATTTTAACTAGTAACTCTTTTCTTGTTGTTCACTTATTTGGAAACCTTACAAGTTACTTAATTTCTTTATGCTTTTGTTCCTTCCCTTGTAAAATTGTTTGGTAATAGCATCTACTTCATACTGTAGTTGTTAGAATTAAATAATGCCTGGCACATGCTTAGTGTTCAAAAAATGTTAGCTATTCTCACCATTATTGTCATCATCATCCCCATCCCGTCATCGTCTTCGCATGGATGCCTTCTTACTTCAACTGCCCAATAGATATACAGGTCTTTCTCAAGCAACCTTACTAAAGCAACCTTCCTGGTCATTCTCTATATATTCCTGTGTTGTTTGTTTTTTAATCTGAAATTATTTTCTTTCTCTCTCTCTTTTACTTATAATTCTCTAACTTCTTAAATTAGAACAAAGTGATTATATTAAATACTCATTTTATCAAAGTAAAAATTCTTCCCCCTCTTAAGGATATATTATTAATATCTTGCTATTATTGACAGAATGCCATAGACTAGAACATTTTATATTAGTCTGAATATTATAACTGATCTATGAAAAAAAGTCATTAACTAAATGCCAAAAGATACTGTTGATCCTTGTTAATCAAAGTGTGGTTCATTGACTGACAGCATACTTGGGAGCTTATTTGAAATGTAGATTCTCAGGCCTTATCCTAGACCTACTGAATCAGAATCCCTGTGTGATTGGTGCTCAGATTAAAGTTTGAGAAGCACTACTGTCTGTTATAGGATTATTTAGAAAGTTAAATTGCAGTGTTCTTGAGTTTTCCTTTGTATACTTAATGAAATCTTTCTAACCTGTGTTTTCAAAGGAATAATCACACACTCTTTGGTGTCCTAAATTATACTAAGACTCCTGGAGGAAGTCGAAGACTTCGTTCCAATATATTAGAACCTCTAGTTGATATTGAAACCATTAACATGAGACTAGATTGTGTTCAAGAACTACTTCATGATGAGGAACTCTTTTTTGGACTTCAGTCAGGTAAATGAATATTATCTAATTTTGTAAATACTAATTATTTAAAAAATACAGTGTCTTCTTATAAGGATACCAGTTATATTGGATAAGGCTCATTCTAATGATTTTATCTTCACTTGATTACACCTGCAAAGATCCAATTTCCAAATAAGATCACATTCATATTCCAGGGTTTAGGACTTCAAAATATCTTTTTGGGGGACACAATTTAACCCATAACATGAAGTAAGAGAATTACTCTTGGCGCCTGTTTGTTCACTGGCATGGCAATGTAATTTTCTTCTTAAATCTATAGGTGGAAGGACAGTTTATATGCACCACTTCTAGTCCAATTCCTGGTTTCTAGCAGCTTGGGCTGTCTTCCACACCCCAGCTCCCCTAACCTCTCCACCTGGTGTTCTGGTAGTTTAAACTGAAGTGGTACTGGAAAATCTAGAGGGCATTTACAGCCTAAATAGGTTTCACTCAGTCCAGTTCCAAATACCTTTTAATTCGTATAATTCCTTCAAAATTCTGGCATTATATTGACTGTGACTCTGCATTTCCAGTATTTTTGAATCCATTCATTTTTTTCCATATATTCCTGTGTATTTAGTGAGACTTTGGGAATGGTACAAAGAGGCCGTTTTTAACTGGTACCCTTTTTTTTTGTTCACAGCAACATTTTGTTGGCCTACTTGTACCTGGCATTTCATATCATAATAAGTTTCAGGAATATGAAAAGTTATTTAATCATGTAGTGTTAGTTAAACTCCAAACATTGTCATCTTTTTAAACTTTCTGCTACTAAATATGCACTTGTACTCATCCATTTTCCCTTCCCTTTGTTTAAGCTGGAAGTGGTATTCCTGCTCCTCTTTATAGCTAATTCCTCCACCTTTGTTCTGGATCCCATCCTTACACTTGATTGTCTCCTGTATCTTTCCTGTATGTCTCTTCCTTAAGTCTTTACCATCTTTGTGAAAAATCTCCCTGGACTTCATCTTCTCCAGTTACCACCTATCTCTCTTCTATTCATAGCTAAACTTGTTGAAAAACAAATTTTCTGCACTCACTATCTTCTCTTCACTATGCCTCAGTCTGCTGCAGTCTTGTTTACCTGCCTGCTACTGCACTGAGACTGCTCTTGTCAAGGTCACTGTAGCAAATATTGTTGGTTCTCTGTCCAGATTCTCTTGGGTCTTTTATTTTTCTCTGTGCTCCTTTCCCTGCTCTGTGTGGTTTTGCTTCTAGTGGCCCACACCTAGACTCTCTTTGGAGGCCTGCCCTCAGGCTCTTAGAGCACTTGGCTCTCAAGCAGCATGCCAGAAGTGCCTTGCAGCCCCTAAGTGACTGACTAGTGTGGGAGCATGAAAGCCCAGCTGTAGCACATTGATTTGGCCAAAACCCTGAGGGTAACTTAAAGTCCAGAATTCTTCTACAGGATAAGTTGATGTTACCTTCCACAGGACTTCACCTGAAATTGTACTTTTGCTTGGCTTTTTCCCCTTCCCTGTCCGTCTTCTTTCCTTTACTGCTTTCTCTTGGAAGCACTTTCTTAATCACTTGCACATGAATCCTGATCTCAAGATCTGCTTCTGGAGAACCCAGCCTAAAACAGTCACCCATAGGCTCACTGTTGTTAAATATAATGGACACTTATTAGTTCCCTATTTGAACTCCAACTTATATGGTGCTGCTAAATATCTCTCCTTATTGAATTACTTCCTTTCTTTCCTTCTGTGACTACACAATCGTCTGATTTTCTTCCTACTTCTTTGGGATTTCCTTCTTTTTTTTTTTTTTCAAGCTCTATCACTCATTTATTTGAAAAGTTTATGTGAAAATCCAGTCAAAACCTACAGATCGTCTCTCTTGAAATGTTGTCTACATGGATTTCCAAATAGACCGTAGGATTGTATACTGTCTTGGAAGGTCCTTAGAAAGCTCCGTCATTGATCAGATAACAGGATAAAAACCCTAGAGTCTTTTCTTTCAAATGTAAGAGGGAAGGACTTCTGAGTCTTTTTTATAGGCTTCTTTTCCTTTGCTTATTCCCTAAGTCCTATGGCTCTTCAACATATGTCCTAGGATGCCTTTTTACCCTGTATATTCTTATTATATCACTTACCCACCTTCCTGGTTTTATAGTTATCTTTCAAAATTCATGACTTCCAAATTAGCGTCTCCTGCCCAGATTGCTCTACAGACCTTCAGCCCCATATATCTTATTGCCTACTGAGCCCTTGTTAGATGTTCCTCAGTCACCTCAAATTTAGTGTGTCCAGACCGTGCCATCTTTCCTTCTAAATCAGTGGATAGCTCTACATCCAATCTCTTTACCAAACCAGATACCTGGAAGTCATTCTTGACTCTTCCTTTCCCTGAAATCAATCATCAAATTCAGCAGTCTCCTTCCTATATATGTCTTGAATGTATCGGCTTCTATTCCCAATGCTGCTGCTTCAGCCCAGGCTACCATTTATCTCTAATCTGATTTATTGCAATAGCCTCCTATTTGGTCTCCCCTCTCTGATCTTGCTATTTACAGTCTCTTCTCCACATTGCAGACTGAGTGATCATTTGAAAATATAAATCTGAGTGTGTCAGTCTGTATTAGTTTCCGCTGCTGGTGTAACAAATTACCGCAAATTTAGTGGCTTAATACAACAGGAATTTATTACCTTATAGTTCTGGAAATCAGAAATAAGTTTTACTGGGGTAAAATCAGTATTAGCAGGTCCACATTCCTTCTGGAGGCTCCAGAGGTGAATGTTCCCTTTCCTTTTCATTTCTAGAGGCCGTTTGCATTCCTTGGCTCATGTCCTGTTCTCCATCTTTAAAGCCAGCAGTATAGTATCTTCTCTACTTTCTGACCTCTGCTTTTGTCCTTATATCTTCTCTCTCTGACTGATCCTCCTGACTTCCTCTTATAAGAACCCTTCTGATTACTTTGGGACCAAAAACTAATCCAGAATAATCTCTCCATTTCAAGATGCTTAATTTAATCCCCTCTTCAAAGTCCCTTTTACCAGGTAACATATTAGCAGGTTCTAGGGATTAGGATGTGGACATCTTTGGAGGGCTACTCCATACCCACTTGCATAAAATCCTTTAGTCTCTTCTCATTACTTGTAGGATAAGATCCAAACTCTTCTATATGGCTCTTTTTTTGTCATCTCCCACAGCATCTCTTGCAACTCTTCAGTTTCCACTCTTCCTTGTAGTATAATTGAACTTCTTTTAGTTGCTTGAACATGTCCTCTCTCATGTTCTGGCCTTTGCTCTCTGTAGTATTTGCCTACAATCGTTCCTCCTTTCCTCCTTACCTTCCTTCCAAGCTTCTCTTTGGCTACCTGCAGTTCATGCTTTACCATTCCAATTTAGATATCACTTCTGCTGGAAGCCTCTTTGACTTCGCAAGTCTGTGTGAGGGATCTTTTCTACATGTTTCCTATAGTGTTTTCTTATGATACTTATTTTATTGTACTGTGAGTGCATGTTCTTGGATGATTCTCATACGAGGCTAGAACATAATGGGTGTTCATATTTGTTAAACTATTGATTTATTGTTGAATTTAGAGATTTACTGTTGAAAATTGTATTCTGTTGTTCCTAAGATTATAGTGTTTTATATGATGAGATTTTAATGGAAAACATGGATTTTCCTTGAAACTTTAATTTTGATATACTTTAAGTTTTATAATTTCTTATAACTGAAAGTTTTAAATTGGCATTTACAAATGTTAAACATTTCTGTTTTCTATATCTTGACAGTCTGTAATTTATCTTAACGTGTAATGAAGATGCTTATGGGGTAACAAAAATGTTTTTTGGGTGTGGTGGCTGGAATAAAGATCTGGTATGAGTGTTGTTGGCTGTGCTCCTGAATAGTCGTTACTTTCTAGGGTGCACTTGTGTTTCTGGGAAGTTGGGGAAGGTAAAGTTAACATAAGCTTCTGCGGTTATACTTACATTGATATAAAAGAGCTTGCTGTATTTAAGGCGTGGCTAGTGGTTATTTATGACTTGAAGCCTTGGGGAATGGCAGGAAATGAGGATTGGGGTTAACTTATGAAGGGCCTTTATATAATGGTAAGAAATTTGGATTTTATCCTGCAGGCAGTAGGGAGCTAAAGATTCTACACCAACAGAGTAATATGATGAAATACTTATTTTAGAAACATTCTGGTTGCTATAATAGATTTGGGAAAGGAAGAAGAAAGAGACTAAAAAAGAGAAAAGCCTGTTTAACTGAGGGCTTAAGAGAGTCTGACTAGTGGAATCACATGTAAAATGTCATAATAGTATTCTGTCATATTGAACAGTTTAACAGTAGTGTATTCAGCCTATTTACTCTAATGTTTTTAAACACAGTTTTAACATAATTAATTACCCTAGAAGTGGCAAAATAGAAAGGGGCACAGTTCTATAGGTAGGCAAACTGAAAACTATCAAAAAATACCTGTTGGTGTGAATAAGAAGCAAGTAACAATTTTTTTTTTTTGACAGATAAGTTGGGGCTACTTTGTGAAAGTATAAATAAGTCTACACAAAAACTTCTGAGGTCATACATTACAATGGTGATAATAACCATGAGTCATTAAGAAGAAGTTACTGTCATTTACTGTATTTTAAGTATGGGGAAATGAGTGTACTCTTAAAAGATCTGTATCTTAAATTGTTAAGGTAAAAAAAAAGCATCCAGGGATATTTAAAAGGGATAGATTACAATTATTCATAAATTTTCTTTTATAGAATACTTTAGGCAGGAAAATGAGTTGAGAAGAATAACAGTTTTGAGCTCTGGTATGTGCAAGCTACTTTACAGGTATTATTTTACTTAATCTTCACAACAAACCTAGGACGTAGATGTTATCCACATTTAAAAGATGAGAAGTAAAGTTAAGAGAAGTTAGGTAACTTCCAGAAGGTTACATGGTTAGTGGTTGAACTGTGCTTTTAAACTAATCTCATAGAATTCTTTAAGTATCAGGAAGAAAAGTTAGAGATCAAAAGGGTAAGAAGAAAATTATGATAAGCAATATCTAAAAGCCAGAGAAGTAGAATTTCAAGGAGGAAGGGGGTGATCAACATTGTCAAATTTTGAAGATGGATTGTGAATAATCAAAATTAAGAAAAGACTATTAAAATTTGTTTTATTCCAGGAACATGTAAGATAGATAAAGACAATTAAAACAAGTAATATTTGCAGGTAGAATTGTTCTATTTTATTATTCAAGGATAATATTTTACAAAGTCTATATTTTAAACTGTAACATAAAGTTTAAATGCTTTTACTTTTTGTTTGTTTCAGTTATATCAAGATTTCTTGATACAGAGCAGCTTCTTTCTGTTTTAATCCAAATCCCAAAGCAAGACACGGTATGTTTATGTATATACATATGTTATATTATTATGTATTATGTGATATAACTTGTCTTAAAGTGATGTAACAATTGGAAAATATCAAAATGTTTTGGAAAGGTACTTCATTATTAATATCTGGAGTATTTCTTATGCCTTTTTTTTTCTTTGTGACGAAGATTGGCCTTGAGCTAACATGTGTTGCCAATTTTCCTCTTTTTGCTGAGGAAGATTAGCCCTGAGCTAACATCTGTGCCCATCTTCCTCTATTTTGTATATGAGATGCCGCCACAGTATGGCTTGATGAGTGGTGTGTAAGTCTGCGCTAGGGATCTACACCTCTGAACCCCAGACCACCAAAGCACAGTGTGCAAACTTAACCACTATGATACTGGGCCAGCCCCATATGCTTTTTTAAAGGATTCTTCCCCCACCATGTGTTATCCTATATGTTATAGTAAAATTAAAAGTTTCTCAGTTGTGGAATTGGTATATTTTGATTAATTAAATATTTACTTAAAGACTTTATATATAATTTTCAAAAAACTTAAACTGTATAACATATGCTTAGTAAATAACTAGATAACTAAATTATGTTAGATCCAAAGATGAGATGTGCTTCTTAAAAGTGATCATTATGTGAAGTTTGATTAGTTTTCAAATATGCTTAACCTTTAAGAATAAAACAGCATCTTTGGATATTTTTCAAATTTAAATGCTGCTTATAGGCACATCCTGTAAAAAAGTTAGTTTTTTTCCGAAATTGAAAAATGTTTAGTGAAATACTTGTATATTTTTGCTCATATACTTAAAAAGAAAAGAAGTCTTATACATCAGTGAAATTTGATTTAAAATTTGATTACCTTGCAAATCCACTGAAGACAAATCTGTGTTTTAGAAGTCTTTCCATATTGTGGAGATAACACTCTTAAGATTCATTTATAAAAAAATATCATTGGAAAAGTTTTGGCTGTTGAGCAGGTACAGAACTAGAAATTTCCTTAAATAATTGAAACACCTTGTAATTCAATATATACAAGTGGGAGGTAACCTAAAACAACTTATGTCTGGAAAAAAATTAGGTGCTTTCATAAAATGAGTTTGGAAGTATTCCTTCCTTTTCAGTTTTCTGGTAAAGTTTGTCTATAACTGGTATTATTTCTTCCTTAAATGTTTGCTAGAATTCACAAATAAAGGCATTAAAATTTTCTTTGTAGGAAGATTTTTGACTATAAATTCAACTTCTTAAATAGATGTGGTACTGTTCAGGTTACCTGTTTCTTCTTGAATGAGCTTTGGTAGATTGTGTGTTTCAAAGAATTTGTCATTTCACTGAACTTGTCCAATTTTTTGGCATGATGTTGTTCATAATATCCTTCTTATTATACTTTGTATATTTGTAAGGTTTTTGGTAATGTACTTCTCTCATTCTTGAAATTGGTAACTTGAATATTATTCTTTATACTTAGTCAGTCTGGCCAGAGGTTATGAGTTTTATTGGTCTTCTCAAGAAACCAGCTTTTGATTTCATTGATTTTTCTATCTTTTTTTTCCCTTTTCTTCATTTCGTTGATTTCTGCTTGTATCAATTTTATTTCCTTTCTTCTGCTTACTCTATGCTTAGTTTGCTGTTATTTTTTGAGGTTGTGAAGGTTGAAGCTGAGGGCATTGATTTGAGACCTTTTTTCTTTTCTGATATAAGCATTCAGTAGTACTTTAGCTATATTTCACAATTTTTGATGTTGTGATTTCTTTTTCATTCAAAAAAGTTAAAAGTACTTTCTAATTTCCTTTTTGATTTCTTCTTTGATGTATGGGCTGTGTAGAAATGTGTTATTTAGTTTCCAGTATTTGGGAACTTTCCAGATGTCTTTCTGTTATTGATTTCTGATTTAATCCCATAGTGGTCAGAGAACATATGTTATATGATATGGATCCTTTTAATTTAATTTAATTGCTTTTTTTTTTTTTTGGTGAGGAAGATTGGCCCTGAGCTAGCATCTGTTGCCAATCTTCCTCTTTTTTTTTTCTTTTCCTCTCCCCAAAGCCTCAGTACATAGTTGTATATCCTAGTTGTAGGTCATTCTAGCTCTTCTATGTGGGATGCCGCCACAGTATGACTTAATGAGCAGTGTGTAGGTCCACACCCAGGATCTGAACCAATGAATCCCAGGCTGCTGAAGTGGAGTGCGTGAACTTAACCATTCAGCCACAGGGCCAGCCCCTGGATCCTTTTAATTTTAATGACACTTGATTTTATGGCCCAATGATCTCTTGGTAAATGTTCCATGTGTACTTGAAAACAATGTGCATTTTGCTGTTCTTGCATGGAGTATTCCATAAACGTCAGTTAATTCAATTTGATTGATAGTGTTCTTCAAGTCTTCTATATCATTATTTTTTTTTTCTATTCCATCAATTCTTGAGAGAGACATGTTAATATCTCCAACTATAATTGTGGATTTGTTTGTTTTTCCTTGAAGTTCTATCAGTTTTCATCTAATGTATTTTGGAGCTCTGGTATTAGGTACATAATCACTTAATATTGGTGCTCTTGGTGAATTGATCCCTTTATCATTATAAATTGACCTTCTTTTTTCCCCAGTAATATTTTTGATCTGAAATCTTTTGTGTTTAATATTAATATAGCCACTCTAGCTTCCTTTTGATATGTTAGCATCATATAACTTTTACCATCCTTATGCTTTTTTTTTTGGCTGAGGAAGATTTGCTGCAAGCTAACATCTTTTATATGTGAACCGCCATCACAGCATGGCCACTGATAGATGCATGGTGCAGGTCTGCACCCAGGAACTGAACCCAGGCCACCGAAGCGAAGAAATGCCAAACTTAACCACTAAGCCACCGGGGCTGGCCCCACTGTACTTATGCTTTTAACTTATTTGTGTCTTTATATTTAAATTGGGTTTCTTGTAGACAACATATATTTACGTCTTGCTTTTTTATGTACAAATCAGAGAATATCTTACTTTTAATTGTGGTGTTTATTCCATTTACGCTTATTGGTATGTTTCTATTTAAGTGTGCCATCATGTTACGTTTATTTCTATTTATCTCATCTATTTGCTTCCTTTTCCCTTTGTTTTTGCCTTCTTTTGGATTAATTATTTTTTATGATCCCATTTTATCTCTTTTGTTGATTTATAAGCTAGAACTGATTGTTTTATTTTAATGGTTGCTTTAGAGTTTATAGAATACATCCCTTGCTGAATTCAGTCCACCTTCAAATAATATTACATCACTTTACATACGATATAAGAACCTTACAGAAGGGGCAACAAAAGCAAAAATAAACAAGTGAGACTGCATCAAACTAAAAAGCTTCTGCACAACAAAAGAAACAATCAGCAAAATGATAAGGCAGCTATGGAATTGGAGAAAATATTTGCAAGTCTTATATCTTATAAGGCGTCAATATTCAAAATATATGAAGAACTCATACAACTCAATGGCAAGAAAACACACAATCCCATTAAAAATGGTCACAGGAATTAAATGAGCATTTTTCCAAAGAACATATACAGATGGCCAAGAGGCATATGAAAAGGGGCCCAACGTCACTAATTATCAGGGAAATGCAAATCAAAACCACAGTGAGATAGCACCTCACACTTCTTAGAATGACTGTCATCAAAAAAACAAGAGATAAAAAGTGTTGGCAAGGATGTGACGAAAAGGAACCTTTGTGCATTGTTGGCGGGAATGTAAATTAATGCAGTCACTATGGAAAAGCCAGCCCTGTGGTCTAGTGGTTAAGATTCAACACTCACTGCCATGGCCTGGGTTCATTTCCTAGTTAGCATGACCATCTGTCAGTGGTCATGTTATGGTGGCTGTGTGCTGCTGGGATGCTGAAAGCTAGTATTTCAAATGCTAGCATGGTCACCCATGGCGGGCAGGTTTCAGCAGAGCTTTCAGACTAAGACAGACTAGGAAGAAGGACCTGGCCACCCATTTCTGAAAAAATTGGTCATCAGAACCCTATGAATATCAGCAGAACATTGTCTGATACAATGCTGGAAGATGAGAGGATGATGCAGAAAGACCTGGCAGGGTGCTGCTCTGCTGTATATAGGGTCATTAGGAGTCAGAATCGCCTCGACAGCATTAACAACACTATGGAAAACAGTATGGAGGTTTCTCAAAAAATTAAAAATAGAACTACCATGTGATCCAGCAATTCCACTTCTAGGTGTATATCCAAGGAAATGAAAACAGAATATCAGAAGAGATATCTGCACTCCCATGTTCATTGCAACATTATTCACAATAGCCAATATACAGAAACAACAAATCTCCATCAATAGGTGAATGGATCAAGAAAATGTGACACACACACACCCACCCACACCCACATATATATACATATATACAATCAAATATTATGCAGTCATGAGAAAGAAGGAAATCCTGCCATTTACAACAACATGGGTGGAACTTGAGGGCATTATGCTCAGTGAAATAGGACGGACAGAAAAAGATAAATACTGTATGTTGTCACTTATATATAAAGCCTAAAAAAAAAAAAGCAAATTCATAAAAACAGAGAGTAGAAAAGTGGTTGCTAGGAGCTAGGAGTTGGGAGAAATAGGGAAAAGTTGGTAAAAGGGCACGAAGTTCATCTATAAAATGAATAAGGTCTGAGGGTCTAATGTAAAACATCGCGGCTATAGTTGATAACCCTGTATTATATAGTTGAAATTTGGTAAGAGAGTAGAACTTAAAAGTTCTCATCAAACAAACAAACCAACCAACAAAGGATAAATATTTGAGGTGATGAATGTGTTAATTAACTAGATGAGGAGACTCCTTTTGCAATGTATATGTATATCAAATCACCACAATGTACACTTTAAATATCTTACAATTTTTTATGTCAGTTATAACTCAGTAAAGCTGAAATAAAGGGAAAAGGACATTACAGTAGGATGCTGTCATCCCTCCCTTCCCTTCCCTTGTGGTATTGTTGTCATGTGTTTTACTTCTTTTTTTTTTTA